CCCCCGTGCGAGCAAGGCTGGCTCTGGCACTCATCAAGGTCCATCTGGCAGCTGGCGCCCCCGTAGCCCGGCGCGCACACGCAGCGGTAGGAGCCCAGGCCGTCCAGGCAGGAGCCCCCATGCAGGCAGGGCGCTGACGCACACTCGTCGACCTCGGCCTCGCAGGTCACGCCTGGATGGGGAGACACAGAGAGCCTGCGATACACACCCAGGGCAGGGCGAAAGTGGCCGGGCCAAGGTCGCAGCTGCTCCACTCACAAGGGGCGACCACCATGCAGCTCTGCACAGAGACCCTCTGGCTCACTCACTCTGAGCAGGTGCCACGTCCCTATCGTCATGGAGCCTCTAGCGCTCTAGGCCTGGAGACAGGATTCGGTCAAGAACTGAAGACTGCTTTTATAATGACAAGTTCAGCAAGCGAGGGAACCAGATCCTGTGAAAGCAAGAGCAGGGGCCTATCTGGGGAAGTACAAGTCAGGGAAGGCTTCTTGGGGGGAGAAGCCTTTTTGGCTTTTTTTTGGGGGGGTGTCTGTTTTGTTTTGTTTAGATTTTTGAGACAGCGTCTCACTAAGCCGTTCAGGCTGGCCTTGAATTCACTATGTAGCCCAGACTGGCCTCAAACTCGCAGTGATCCTCCTGCCTCAGGCTCCCAAGTACAGGAATTACAGGAGTTCACCACCATGCTGGGAAGGAAGAGGTTTTTGAAGGATGGGTTAACGGGCTTCTGGATGCCAGGAATCTGCAGTTGGCCAGGTCGTGCTGCGGGTGGGGGTAGGGGTCCTCAGTGAGGGGATGAGTCAGACAGGTGAGGCAGGAGTGGGGGAGTCTCAGAGATAGGGGCAGTTGAGCTCATCCTAAAAGTTATAAGGAGCCAAGTGATGGCTGCACAAGGGTCATTCTCCAAAATAGACCACATACTAGCTCAGGGAACATGCTTAAGTAAATGCAAAGGAATTGAAGTTATCCCCTTTATTTGTCAGACCATAGTGCAATTAAACTGGCGCTCAATAGGGTAAGAAACCACAAAAACTTCACAAACGCATGGAAGTTAAATAACACCCTGCTGAACAACCACTGGGTCATAGAGGAAATTAAAGAATAAATTAGACAGTTTCTACAATTAAATAACAGTGCTAATAAAACATACAGGAATCTGTGTGACACAATGAAAGCAGTTCTACAAGGGAAATTCATAGCAGTAAATGTCAATACTAAGAAAACACACCTCAAATAAATAACCTAATGCTTACCTTAAGCTCCTAGAAAAAGAAGAGCAAGACAAACTGAAAGCTCATACAAAGGAGGAAGTTATAAAGATCAGAGACTAAGAGAATGATACAAAAAAAATCAATAAATCAAACACTTGGTTTTTTGAAAGAATAAATAAAATCAATAAACCCTTAGCCAACCTTATCAAAAAAGGAAAGAAAAGGCTCAAATTCATGCAATTAGGAATGAAAAGGGTGAAGTCACAACAGATCCAGCAGAAATCTAGAGAATCATCAGTACCTACTTAAAAAACCGTACTCTAATATACTGGAAAACACAGAAAAAATGGACAGATTTCTAGATACATATGAACTTCCAAAGTTGAACAAAGAAGATATAAAAAGTCTAAACACCCAATTACATTCAATTGTAATTACATTCAAATTGAAAATGTATTAAAACAGTACCAACAAAAAAAAGCCCAGGTCCTGATGGCTTCACTGCTGAATTCCACAAGACATTTACAGAAGAACTATTGCCACTACTCTGTAAACTCTTCAGTGAAATTGAAAGGGAAGCAATACTTCCAAATTCATTCCTGGAAACAAGTATTACCAGGGAAAGACCCAACCAAAAAAGAGAATTACAGGATAATCTCCCTAATGAACATACATGCAAAAATCCTCAATAAGATACTGACAAACAGAATACAGAACATCAATAAGAAGATCACACACCCTGATCAGGTCAGATTTATCCCAGGGATGCAAGGATGGTTCAATATATGTAAATCAATAAATGAAATACACTATATTAACAGAGTTAAGGACAAAAAAACATATGATCATCTCAATAGATGAAGAAAAAGCATTTGACAAAATTCAATACCCATTCATGATAAAAAAAAAAACTCACAGAAAATTGGAATAGATGGTCTTTATCTCAACTTGACAAAGGCTATCTATGAAAAACCAATGGCCAATACAATACTAACTGATCAAAAACTGAAAACCTTCATGCTAAAATCAGGAACAAGGCAAGGATGCCCACTATCACCACTCCTTTCAATATCGTTCTGGAAATATTAGCCACAGCAATTAGACAAGAGAAAGAAATAAAAGCAATAAAGATAGGAAAGGAAGAAGGTAGACTCATTATTTGCTGATGATATGATACTCTACATAGAAGACCCAAAAAACTCTGCCAAAAGACTTGTAGACTTAATCGACAGATTCAGCAGAGTAGCTAGATACAAGGTCAACACTCAAAAATCAATGGCCTTCTTGTACACAAATAACAGACTCATTGAAAGAAATTAGGGAAACAATTTCTTTCACAATAACACCCCCAAAAAATGAAATATCTAGAAATAAATCTAACAAAGGAGACAAAAGACCTCTACACTAAAAACTATAGCACTCTGAAAAAAAAAAGAGATAGAAGAGGATATAAGAAAATGGAAAGATATCCTCTGCTCCTGGGTAGGAAGAATCAACATAGTGAAAATGGCCATACTACCAAAACTGCTATACAGATCCAATGCAATCCTGATTGAAATCCCAAGAGTATATTTCACAGAACTTGAGAAAACAATCAAAAAAATTCATTTGGAGCCAGAAGAGACCTAAAATAGCAAAAGCCATTCTAGGCAACAGAAACATGGCAGGGGGTATCACAATCCCCAACTTCAAACTATACTACAAAGCCACTGTGATAAAAACAGCATGGTACTGGCAAAGAAACAGACCCCAAGGATCAGGGAAACAGATCAGAAGATGCAGAAACAACTCCAGATATATTTAGCTACCTCATCTTTGACAAAGGAGCCAACCATCCTCACTGGAGGAAAGATAGCCTCTTTAATAAATGATGTCGGAAAAACTGGCTTTTAACTTGGCAAAGATTAAAACTAGATCCCTATTTTAAAGACACCATGCACTAAACTGAAATCCAAGTAGATTAAAGATCTAAATATCAAAACAGCCAGGTGCAGTGGTGCACGCCTGTAATCCCATCGCTCGGGAGGCTGAGACAGGAGGATCGCTGAGAGTTCAAGACCAGCCTGGACTACATAGTGAGTTCCAGGTCAGTCTCAAGTACATAGTGAGACCCTGTCTCAAAAAATGAAAAACCAAAAACAAATAAATATCAAAACAGAAACATTAAACTTACTGGAAAATAAATTAGGTAGAACTCTCGAAGACATTGGCATAGGAAAAGACTTTATGAACAAATTCTCAGCAGCATGAGAACTTGCACAAAGAATCAACAACTGGGATCTCATTGTATTAAAAAGTTTTTGAAGTGCAAGAGAAACCAGCAAGAGAGCTAAGAGACAGCCTATAATGTGGGGAAAAAAATTTTTACTGCTCCTCAGACAAAGGACTACTCTCTAGAATATATAACGAACTCAAAAAATCAGACACCCTCAAATTCATAGACCCAATTCAAAAACGGGCATCTGAAATGAACAGACACTTTTCAGACAAACAAGTAAAATCAGCAAATAAATATATGAAAAAATGTTCCACATCACTGGTCATTCAAGAGATGCAGATGAAAACAACACTGAGATTCCACTTCACTCCAGAAAGAATGGCTGCTGTCAAGAAATCAACCAATAACAAATGCCAGAAGGACTATGGGGAGAAAGGAACCCTTCTCCATTGTTGGTGGGAGTGCAGACTGGTGCAATCATTGTGGAAATCAATATGGTGATACCTCAAAGAACTAGGATTAGAGGTTCCATTTGATCCAGTATCCCTCTGCTGGGTATCTTTCCAAAAGAATTTTAAAAATCATGCCACAGTAATATATGCACACCCCTGCTTATAGTGGCACAGTTCATAACAACTAAAACTTGGAAACAACCCAAATGCCCATAAACTGGAGACTGGATAAAGAAGATGTGGTTTTCTATAAATGGAGTACTACTCAGCCATAAAGAATGATAAACTAGAGACATTTATAACTAAATGAATGCACATTGAGGCTATACTCTTAAGTGAAATAAATGGGACACACTTGAGTAAATGCCAAATAGTTTCTCTGGAGTGAAAAACTAAAAGTGTAAATAAGGTTAAAATGGTATAATTGATAGTGTGAAATAGGAAGAAAATGTCTAAAGGGGAAGAGGGAAGGGGAGGGGAAAGAAGGGAAAAGAAAAAATGTGAAAAAATGAAAACAAAGTCTTTGTAAATAGGGAGGGTGAAGAGGGTGAAGGGAGGGCAGGGGTATGGGGAAGAAATAAGAACCAAGATACATCATGTAAAGGTACAAGATCCCAGTGATGAATGTGACTGTATTGTTTGCTTTAAATGTACCAATAAACTTAATGGGGAAAAAAATAGTAAGTAGCCGAGTGATGTGATCCTATGATTCCCAAGGCTCACTCTGATGGCTTTAAGGAGGGGACCCCGGAAGAGATGCTGGAGTAGAGTAACCAACTCCTGAACTGCGTTGGCTTTAAAATGAAAACTCCTAGGCCCAGGAAGCCCCACTGTCCTGGACAAACCCTGCTGGCGGGTGGCTCGTGGTTTGGAGGTTCACGCTGGAGCGCTCCTGTCACTGCAGACCCCAGCGTACCCTGCCCCTGCCCCCTCCCCCAGGTGGGTTTGGCCGTGGAGGGTGGGGCTCGGCTGACTGCAGCTGGAATCCTCCCCCTTCGCAGCTTAGTGAGCACAAAACACGGTCCCTCCTTCCCATGACCCTCTGGCCCCACTCCCACCCTCTGTGTCAGGGGGAGCCAGGCTCAGCCTCCTGGAATCCCAGCCTCCCCCACCCGGCCTGGAATGGAGGGAGAGAGATGAGTCATGGCCGCTAGCTCACACCCAGGGAGTTATCAGAGCACTGAACTTCCGGTGCACACACACCTGCCAGTGCGCACGCACATTTCATGAGCAGCACTGCATTCAGAGAGCCCAGATGCCCACGGAGAGGGCAGATGCACACATGGAGGCCCTTGAAGCAGACCTTCAAACCCGGAGACACACAGACAGGCGGGCCCACACTCGCATGTGCACAACTGGCACAGCCAGACACGGACAGAGGACAAGCAAGGTGTGGGGAAGCAGTGTCATGTCACTACATGCCCTGTTGCCTGGAACTGTGTCCCCCAGTCTGTACCCCTCGCTCTGCAGAGACTCCAAGTTGCCCTTTGCCCTCAAACCACAGTTGTCTACACTCAGTGTTGAGTGGAACCCATAGTGTCTACACTGCAGGCTGCAGGCTGCCCACACTCACCAGCCTCAGCTACACCCTTTTCCCAACTCCAGGCAGCCGCTACAGGATGCCCAGGCCTCCGAGATGGCCAGAGACTGGGCAGCTGCTCTCCAGAGGCAGGAATTACATGTACTCAGTGCTGGTCACTTTCTGAGCACTCAGGGCTTCCAGGATCTTGGGGGCCCATTGGCATCAGGGACCAAAACCATGAGTGGTCTCCAAGCTAGAACCTCGGAGCACAGCAGAGGGCAGGGGTCGGCATCCCAGCGTTACATCCTGAGCTGCTAGGGCCATCGCACCATCTGGACAGTGTCTACGTGACAACTTGACCCAGGTCTGGAGCAGAGAATGCTAACAATGCTGTCGGGGGTGTCCTCAAGAAAGCTAATCCAGACAAATCTGCCAGGTTGCTCTGCACTGCCAGGGATGCCTGAGGCTGGGATCCACTCTAGCACCAAACCCAGCTGTGCAGCAAGGGCCAAAATAATGTCCATCAGGAGCCCTAGAGGGGCCAGATACCTGCCAGGTCCACCCAAGAGGTGGCACAGGAGCGGGGACACCCAGAGCTGCCAGCATCCTGGTGCAGCTCTTGACTAAAGCCAGGGCTGAATCAAGCTGCTTAGACTGGGAGCCATGAGGGGACCCATGGTCCCGACCTCCACCCAGAGCAGCGCAGACGTTACCTGCATAGCCGAGGGGGCAGTGGCACTCGAAGCGATCAGCCAGGTTGCGGCAGGTGGCCCCATGCTGGCAGGGCTGGGATGCACACTCATCGATATCCAGCTCACAGTGGGGACCCTGGAAACCAGGCACACAGTAGCAGCGGAAGCTGTTAGGACCTGGACCCTGGGGCACACACAGAGCGCCGTGGTGGCAAGGCTGGGTGGCACAGCCCTGGGGCTCCTCGGGCCCACAGGTGTAGCCACCGCTTTCCGTAGTCTGACACTTGGTCCCTGGAGCACACAGATCTGAGGCACAGGGGTCTGAGGTCTGCCCACTCGGGCTTTCTGAAGGTACCGTCCCTGCAGAAAGAGGAAAGACACTGGGAAGAGGCTGCATGGACGCCCCTCCTACACTCTCAGCCCAGCCACTGTCCCAGAAGCAGCCTGGATCTGCCCATGCTCAGGGGAGGCACGAGAGGCCGGGGTAGGGCAGGGTTCCAGCGGGCTGCAGTCATCTCACTGTGTCTGCAGAGCAGAGCAGCAGGCCTGATGCCTGGCACCCCGCACGCTAACGAGAGGACCAACGCTGTCTCCTCACCCCATCCCTGCAGTGCCCTGGGGGGCCGGGGATGTCACGGGGCCATGACTGGCAAGCAGAGGGCTCCAGAAAGAAACACAAGGCTCTTTCCAAGGTCCCAGCACTGGGCTAGGCTCCAGTGTCCGAACTGTTTTGGCTACAGCTGGAGGGTTCTCCTCTGGGCTCCCCTCCCTGCAGCTCCCTTTCAGGAGGCCAGGAGGACCCAAGCATCAGCCTGTAGGAGGCGGCACTTTTCCTCTCCTCTCCTCTCCTCTCCTCTCCTC